ATATTTTAAATCTTAACTAAATAAATAAGTTATATAAAGAATTTTCTCTAATCAGTATATGTATATAAAGACTATAATAGATGTCACTAAAGTGAATGTTGATATTATTATTATATTATATAAGAGAATAAAGAAAGAAAGAAATATATATGGGTAATTTTAATTGGTGTCATAGAATAGAATTAAATGTTTGTTCGTTTGTTTATGTGTGAATAATAAAGTATTGATTTAAACATTTATATCTATATCAATATAATATTTTTAAATATTATTTTTAATATAATCATATATAAATCTAATTGGAATAAATAATTATCTTTTTATAAATTATTTCAATAGATTTAATTCATAATATTTATATTCTTATTAATTAAATAATAATAAATGTCTTGTTCGATTTTTCTTTTTAAATTGAATTAAATAAAATATTTATTAACAAAAATAAAATTAAAAAAAATATTGTTAATATATTTAAAGATCTAAACAATGATTAATTCAGGTGAAACAAATGAAGAATCTTGTTTAACTCCTCTTGATTCAGCTCGTTATATAATGGAACGAGCTCGACATGTTTCAATAAATATATCTTCTTTACAAAAATTGGCTAATATGGTTCGATTATTTTAACATTTATTTAAAATATATTAATATTATTTTAAGATTTCATGTGCAATGATGGATGGAGAATGTACATCAGATGATTGGATTGGATCAGATGTTGGTCCTCCAAAAGGAAATGATCAATTAACAATCGATTGGTTTGAATAAGAAAAAAAAAATTTCTTTTTCTGTTTTTTCTTATTGAAATAATATTTTTTTTTTTAATTTAAGGATATTTTTGATAAGTACATTAAATTTTTCATTTTGGACTGATGATAATCAATATGAATCATATTGTCGAAAATACAAAAATAAAACTTATTATGGTTATGAGGCATTATGTGTTTCAATAAATCAGGCATTAGATGTAACAATTTTTTATTTTTTTTTCTTTTTAAATTAATTATATTTTCATTAATATAATAATAAAGGAAGGTATTGATATAATTAATGCTCAATATTATTCTCATATAACAAATGATCAATTAAAATATATATTTCGACCAACAGAAAATCCATTTCAATTACCAATGTTAAATGAAAGATTACATGTTTTACATGAAACTGGATCAATACTTCTTAAGGTTTGCTTCTTTTTTTTCTCTTTTTATTTTAATTAAAATAAAAATAAAAAACGAAACATATTGTTTTAATTAAAAAAAAAACAAAAAAAAAAGGAATATGATGGACATTTCGCTCGTTGTATTGAACAAAGTGGTGGAAGTGCTGTTGATCTTGTCGAATTAGTTGTTAAAAAATTTCCTTCTTATCGAGATGAAGCTGTTTATGATGGACAAAGAGGTTTACACTTTTTCTTTTTTCTTTTTCATTTTTCTTTTTAATTTAAATGATTTTTTTGAAATTTTTTAGTTAGCTTTTATAAACGAGCACAAATATTAGTTGCTGATATATGGGGATGCTTTAATGGACATGGTTTTGGTCATTTTACTGATATGGTTTGTTTTTTATTTTATTGATAGATAAAGATAAAATAAATAAATATTAATAATAATAGGATGGTTTAACAATGTTTGCTGATTATCGTGTACCACAAGTATTAGCTCATGAAGGTGTTCTCGTTTATTCAAATGAATTAAAAAGTCGACTTGATAAAAAAGAAGAAATTCCATTTGGAGATCCAGATGAATGTGAAATACGTGCTGCATCAATATTAGCTGTACATATTATTGTTAATTATGCTAATGACAAAATTCCTTTAGAAAAAGATACAGGAGATGGTGGACAAAGATTAAATGCACCAGTTGTTGATGTTTATTTATGGCGACGAAGACGACAACTAAATCATTTATATAAACAAACACCTTTTCATCGTACAAGATCGATTTTTTATTGAATTACTTTCTCTTTTTTCCTTCCTTAAACCTAAATATTCTTTGGCAATTTATTAGAAGAATCAAATAAATGGAGAATTCATTCAAAAGAAAAAAAAGAAAAGAACAATTTTCTTGTTTTATTTGAGAAATGATTAATGTTTGAAATTGATAAGCAAAAAACTTCATTTAAGTTTCTTTTATTCAACAAACAATCTCTTTTTATCATTTATATTAACCCTATGATTAGAAACAAAAAGAAAAAACCGTTTCCTAACATCGTGCACCATTATCAATAACTGCCTAATGAAATAATCAATCTTGACTTTGATTCAGTTGCTTATGAATGTCTATCTCTTCGATTTGTTTTTTTCAGTAGTTGTAAATGAAAAAATAATCTTTAATAAACTACTGTAAATTGTCATATAGAAAAAAACAAAACCTATGAATGATTTCCTTGGTAAGAAACACTCGAATACCAACTGACTAATAATTTTCTCCAATATTAATCGATAAGACTATTATTATATTATATTCTGATAAATAATATATTATCTTATTCTTTGTCTAATGTAAATTATCTTCATGCTTTTTTTTGTTTTTAAATTAAGTTAATATGTGTTTGATAAATAGTGGTCAATAAAATATTATATCGATTATTGCTAACAAGAAAAAAAAACTCATTGATATTTATTTATTTATAACTTTATACGAATTAATCAGTAAAATAATAATAAAAATCAATGAACTAATAAAAAGATTATTTTTCTTAAAATATGATCTTTAATGTTTATTTGACAATATTTCATCGACAAATAATTCTTTCAATTATTATTGTTTTTTTTGTAAATCTTTTATTAAAAATCTCTTATCCATTGTTTTTCTCCAAATCGTTTATATTTGTTTTATTGATCATTTCAAAATAAATAAATCATTCATTTATCTGCAAATAATTAGTTTAATTCTATGAAAGCTTGAAAACTATTGATCTATATATAATGTATTCTTTCATAATATATCAGACGAATATCCTAAATATAAATAGAATATCTATTAAATCTAACTGTTAGATTTAATTTAATTATTAGTTGTAGAATATGTCTTAACATAAATAAATATTTCGATAAAAACTTGTTGAAGAGAAAATTCAGTAAAATAAATCTTAACTATTCATATCAGATTTTTCTAGATTTTGATATCGTGCATTAGAAATCTAACTGTACTCTTTTTGTTTTATTCGATCATATATAATACACTTATATTGAATAGATATTAAAACTGTCGAATTCTACTGTCGCATCTTCTGAAGATAGATCTATTTTATCTTCTTTCGAGTTTTTGTAAATCTATTTATATATTAGAGATGTAAATCTATTTCATTTGATTTTATTAAGTAAACCATATGCATAGAATATATTCATTTTGTTGAACTTCTGGATGTTTCTTTTTTTTGTTTGAAGAAAATAGTGATTATAGATTTTAGTTAAAGTTTTGTGAGTTATCGATTTTCATAACAGGCTTTAGTAATTGAGAATAACAACGTTAGACTCTTTTCTTCGAGTTTATTATTAAAAGTAAAATAAATTGAACATTGTTATAAATAAGAGTTGAACAACAATGATAGAATATTCGAAATTGTCATACTGGTTTTTATTTTTACTCAGATAAAAGTTAATATTAAATAATCATTATAAATGAATTTATTTGATAAAAATATCGAATGATCATCAATATAAAAAGTTTCCAACTGATAATATAAGAACTTAGAAAAATAATTTATCTGATTGTCTCTACTCTTAATATAAAAATAAAATATATTATATTGTATATTGAGACTTATTGATAGATAAATATTATCTCGATATTCAACAGACTCATTTGATAATTAATATTAAGGATAGAATATTTAACATGTTAAATTAGGAAAAAATAAACTAAAGAGAAAATCCTAAAAGATAAATTAATTATAGAATATCAGTAAAAAAGAAAAATTCTTCTATCTTATAATCAATCCTAGATGATTGACGAATTAGTGAATATGTTAACAAAAAAGTATGATTGAGATTGGTTGAAAGACTCTTTAATATACTTGTCAAATTTCTAATTGATTTTGATTTTGTTTTTTTTCATGAAATGATTGATTCTATTTAAAGAAATATTTTCGATAAAGTCTACGAAAAGTTTGTTGATTTTATCTAGTTATTTGTTCATATATATTTATCTTATAAAGATCGATCTGTTTGTTATCAACAAGAATAATTTTTATTTATCTATCGATTATATTCAATTTTAAATAACAAAATCTTTCTTTTTTTTTTTCTGTTTTTTTTTTTTGTTTAGGCAATTTTCATTAACAAGTAAAAGAATCTATTTATTTATTTATTTATTTATTTATTATGAATAATTTCGTTAGCTTACTTTTGAATTTTATCAATTGATTTTTGTTTATATTAAGAAAAAAATCTATTTAAAATAACTTGTTTATTTATTAAAATAAAAATTTCTATTTGAATGAGAACAAAAAAAAGAGTAAGAAATATGATAAAGTGACATTTTGATAAATATTATATTGATGGTTCTATCAATATAATCTGTTTATATTATAGATAAACAAGCAAATAAATGCGTATTATAGAGAAAAATAAATATTATATCAAGGACAATTATTTAATAGACGACCTTTAATGTTTTCTTATGAGCAAGGAGAGAATAACACCAATAGAACTTCTATGATAAAACATCATATCATTATAGTTGATTGAGTTTTTTAATTGAATTTTTTCTTTTTTTTTTCAATTTATATTCTTCTAGTAGAAATATTTTATTTAATTATTAAAGAGAAAAAAAACAAAACAAAAAATGAATTTGTTTGATTAATGAGAATGAAAATGTTCCTATATAGAATGATAGAAGAAAAATGTGATATTGAAAGTGTCACCAGAAAAATATTTTTGTCCTTACCTGTAACGATTCATATTAAGGCAAAGCAAAGCAAAGCAAATCAGAAAAAAAAAAGAAAAAAAACGAAAGATACGGATCGATTGACAAACTCTAACATTATAAATATAAATGGCTTTAGCTCCAAGAAGTGGTTTTGGAAGATTTTTATTATTGGTTATTATTGTAACAACAATATCTTATCTTGTTCTTAATTTAGTTTCATTTGGAGGAACTTCATGGATAACATATACTGATGTTCCTATTCGTTTTGGTCTTTGGAGAGTTTGTGATACAACAACATCAGGTCTTTGTAATCAATGGGCTGATAATTCATTTAAATCAAATATTACTTCAAATACATTTCCAGCAGGAAAACCAAGTATTAGAAATTTTTTATTTCTTTTATTTAATTTAATTTACTTTTGAAAAAAAGGTTTTATTCAAAGTAGTCAAGCATTAGAAATAATATCTTTAATTTTTTATATATTTGCGGCTTTTCTTATTATTATTGGTATAATTGATCTTGATGGATTACCATTTGAAATAATGTTTCTTGCTGCTGCTGTTCTTTTATTTATAAGCAGTATGTTACAAATAAATAAATTTAAAATGAATATGTTTTTTTTCTGTTATTTTGTTAGTTGTATTTATATCAGCAACATTAGGTGTTATGTCTGTACAAGGTCGTAGTAATCATTCGGGTGCTTTTCTTGATTGGGCATGGTGGAATGGTCTTGTTGGTCTTATTATGACAATAATTTGTTTTATTTCATTAATTGCTTTTGTTATGGATATGAGATTATCTCCATCAAATCATCGAAAATCTAAAATGAAAAGGTTACCTTTAGCTTTTTCTTTTTCTTTTTCTTTTTTTAAACTATAATTATTATTTATTTTGTGTGTGGGATTTTATTTTTTTCATTTAAGAAGTAAAAGAAAAAAAGAAGTGCATGCTCCATCAATACCTCCATGGACAACAACAACAACAACAGCAGAAATTCGACCACCGTTTGTTCCACCACCAGTTGTTTTAACACGGTTTGTTCCACCACCAATATATTCACCACCGATTCAACCAACAAATCAGTTAACAAGTCCACCAATGAATTATCCATATAATCAAGGAATGAATGATTATAATTTAAATAATTATACTGGAAATATTCCAATTCAATATGGAAATGTATATCCTTGGATAGATAATAAAATAAATCAAACTCCATCACCACTTATATCAGCATTAGCTCAAGATTATGTATTACGTGCTTATGATAATCAATATCAAACAGATTTACTTATGCCATATGAACAATATAATCAACAACCATTTTTAATAAATACTTATATTTAAAACCAATAACAACAATAATCAATTTCATGAACATATATTAGATTTTTATTTTATTTTATTTTATTTATTGATTATATTATTCAATTATATATATATTGAATATTATATATATATTAACAGAAATAAAAAACGAGAAAATTTCTCAAATAATTCATCAATTATTAAAATGATGAATATTTATTTCTAAATAAATAAATAAATAAATCGAGTCAAAAACAAAAAAAATGAAATCTATTTTCATTGATTAGATTTTATTTTATTTTATTTTAATAAATTATTATTCGAATTATTTATTTAAAAATATTTAACATAAATAAAATATTTCGAATACTAAACCTATATATATATATATATATAACTAGGAAATGAACATCTTATTGATATATATATTAATAAATGAATAAATCATTGATGTTAATTATTATTATTATTAAAATATAAAATTTTGTTTATTTTAATTCTATTGATCGATATTTATTTGTTAGTTTTTTTATTAATTAAAATTATTTAAAATGTTTAAATAGATAGTTGAATATGAAAATAATCTTCACCTATTCATAACAAAACAAATAACTTGCAAAGAATCTTAGCATATATATATGTATCGTTGAAATAAAAGCAAGGTCTTTTTTTGCTATTATAGAAGATTGGTATCTGACCATGAAAACAAATAGCATGACATATCTATTGAATAAGAGGCACATACATTTATATACCAATGTTAATAGACGTTAGTTAGTTAGTCATATGTTTATTATAATGATAACTGTTTTTATCTATTCTCTTCAATATTATTCTTCTATTTTAATCTCTTTATAATAATGTAGAATCATGTTCGATTTAATCAACAAGATTCATCGAATTAATAAAACAAAAACTTTAATCAACTATAAAAAAGATAAAAAGTAGCTAGTTTTTATCTCGATAGATTCTTTAAATTAGTCTTATTAGTTTTCTTAACTATTTTAAATATATATATATCATCTTTTGCTTTTTTCTATATTATATTTTATTTTATTTTTGTTTTTGTTTTCGTGTATTTATATTGTTCGTTTTTTGGATATTTTACTGAAAGGTTCCAATAAATATGAAAAACTATTGAGAAAAACTAAACATATTGATGATTTAATGGACTCAACTTTAATTCTAACAATATCAGAATTGAATTAAACAAATATATGAATATATAGAAATATATTTAATACCACTCTATTGACACTGACAGAAAATAACGAAATTTTCACCATCGATCAGTGATAAAATATCTTATTGTCTATAAAGCCATGATTCATTTAATATTTCTCAATGTCTAATAACAGTTAATGGTTATCGCTTCTCTATCATTGACTACAATTTTCGCTAATGAAATTGTTGTTTTTAAAAATGAATTATCATAGATTGATAATATAATATAGATATGAATAATATCACTATTAAATTGTAATAAACATAACTATTAAAAATTTTAAAAATTTTATGATCGAAGAGAATTTAGTGATTATGAGACACATAGATAAATAATGGACATTTATCAACTTTTCAACTTCTAGTGCATTAATGTTTAATATGATCAATTATATATATATATATATATATGACTAAAGTCAGTTAATGAAAATCGAATATTGTGTTCGTATGATATAAACCACCGTTTCGACTTATATATCGAACTACTATTAATAGTTAATTATTCGCCTTTAAAACAACGAACCTATTCAAATATGGTTCTATATGATAGATAATTATCTTTGTAAACTATCACTATATATTCATTTATATTCGATAGTAATTAGTCATTCAAAGATAGTTTTTGAACGTCCTACGTATATTCCTATTATTTGATTGCTGTTCGATTTATAATCAGCTAGGGCGACGAGAGCCAACGCCTAAACTCATTCTCTATTAAGTTTGTGACAATTTTTAGTCTTGATTATTATGTTCAACGAACGTTTTATTTTATTTCTATGAAGATCTTCAAGAGAAACAAAGTCAAATTTTAATTTGATTTAAATTTAAATTTAAATCGACTGCAAAAAAAAACAAACAAAAATCAAATCGACAAGAAAATTATTTTCTATTGATCAATCTCTATTTATATACAATTATATTATTTTATTTATATTAAGAGAATAGATGGAAAGATAATCTAGAACTGTTATTGGAAATAGTACTCTTTATATATATATATATTAATTGATTATTTAAAATTATTCTTTAAAATAAAACAAATATAATTCATCTAATTGAATAAATACAAATTTATAGTTGATAATAATAATATGATATATCACTATTTATAACATTTAGTTCAATAAATATTCTACAATTTGGAGTTTTTTTTAAAGAAATTTTCCATGAACTGAAAATGATGTTTCTCCACTGTGGTATCTTCCAATCAGCTTAACATTTGTTCACATATGATAGATCTTGTTTTGAATAGGTTTTTCTTTTATGTTTAAAAAACTACTGTTATTTTGAGTTTTGTTATCTATTATTTAAAAAAGTTCTATTCAAACAAAAAGAAACATCTTCTTCTTTTTTTTAGGATATCATCGATATTTTCGCTTTTTTTTTCGAAGGATAAATTGAAACAAAAAAGAAAGAAAAGTAAAAAAAAAAATTTCTTCGTACTCGTCGATATCTATATCTAACTCTCTTAGTAATTTCAACTTAATTTAATGATCGATTATAGATTAACATGTGAAAGGTTAAGAAAATATTTCGAAATTCTTTCTCTTATATATTGATTAACTCATTTGCTCGAATTCCTTCGCTATGTTCCTGAGGATAATCGATCGATCAATAGAGAAATATTCTCTCAAATAAATTTTTTAGATTTGAAAGATAAATTATTATTGTTCGAATTCGTCTTGAAATTATTTTTTATAATTAAATTAAGTTAAATATTGATGATAATATAAACAAGATAAATAACACCTTATTGGAACAAATAAGAATTTAATTGAAATAGAATTATTTTAATATCTATCAAGTTTAGTAGAATAAATAATATCTTTATTTAAACTTCTAGAATAAAAATCAATGACTATAGATATTATAATCAAAACATTTATCTATATTTGAATTCTTATTTTTTTCAATAATATATATATGAAGATGAATTTTCATCTTTTATTTTATTAAATATGAAAATAAATAATATATATTGATGATCTTTATAGAAGATAATTTTATTATATTATTTGAAAAGATAAATTTAATATTTTATCTTCTATCTATTGATTAAAACAATATATTTAATTAGTTATTTTATTTTGACAATTAATTAATTAAATAATAACACATAGAACAACGAAATCAAAGAGATTTTAACTTGAATAATATTTATTTAACTTGAGAATAATTTCTTAATTGAAATATTTCACATCATAAGTTTAGTTATTCTATAAAATCGTTCACTTATTTTCATGTAAATACTTGATTAGAGAGTTATTCAAATGGTGTCCTATATAATAATAGAATTCCGTTCAAGATAAAACGTCTCTAATATTAGAAGATTTGGTGTTGTCGCATATGAATACTTAAATTGATCAATAAATAAATTTCTTGCTGTAAAATGAAACGAATTAGCTAATCTAACGAGTTGAATGATAAAATTCGTTCTTCTAAACTTAAATCACAGCTTTCACGAAATGCTTTACATAGAAATTCTATCAATTAGTGTACAGATTTTAATAAAACAAAACAAAACGAACTAGAACTTTTTAATTTAATATCACAAGCCTCAAATTTGACAAAATTCCAATAGAAACAGATTTTGCAATGAAAATCTAAAACAAAATGTATCTATACATTTTACTTATATAAGTAAAGTGTATTCGTACAGTTTAGTTTCATCACCAAACTGTATCAAAGTGTACAGATACAGAAGTCAAGTTTTTTTTCAAATATAAAATATAAATTGAAATATTTGGATCATTGATAATCGAGAAATGTAAGTAGATAATCATCCAATACTACCAAGTACCTATCCTATTTCATTATATACCGTTTTACAAAAAAATAAGCAAAGAAAAACACGAGTCTATAGAAAAAAACATAAACGAGTTTTGTATTGCATAGAGTCGCATCATTATCAGAGATCGAGAAAAAAAACAAGGGATATAGAATTAATGATAAGACCAATCGAAAGATATCTAAATTTCCTATGATCTTTCCATTCTATTTCATTTAAAACTTCTTAGCACATTTAATGCATTAATATGAAAGTGTAAATTTATTCTATAGAGTCTACGGCGTACACTTTGCTTTTCCAACCAAAGTGTAAAACAGAATGTACATAAAAAACAGCAGATGTTCTCTACATTTTGTTTCTGCTTGGTACATCTGCTATTGCAAACTCTGAATAGAAACATAACTAATAATAAAAATTTGTACTTTGGAAACATTTATTCTCTATTGGCGGCTAGTTTTTCATGTTAAGTCAATGTGTCATCATGCGATTTCATGTGCCTCTACAATGATATCCAGATTTTCCCTTAATCAATAATCTTAAACATTTTATTGATTTGTTTTTTAAGAAATTTTATTATTAATATATAAGAATAGTTTTTATTGTGAGAGAAGATTAAAGAGTATATGTTGCGATCTCTATTTGATGTCACTCATATTGATATAAGAAAAACTAATAAACTTATGTAAATAAGTGACATCTGTTTGCACTGAATGACCGAGTCTAGTAGTTTATTGAAAGTGTCATTTGAGTTCGATTGATGATAGAAAATGTTTTTATTAAAAAGTAAGAAAATAATGGATATGGTTTCTATTAATGGTGAATCTCTTGATATTGGGTAAGATATTATTTTCAAATTAAATTAAATTAATTAATATATTATTTATTTAATTAAAGAGAACGAGAAAAAAATAGTCATCAATTATATTGGAATGATTTGGATAAAATGAAATTTTTATCCCTTCTATCAACAAGTTCATTTCTATTAAGAACATGTTTTCATCCATTAGCTGTTATTAAAACTCGTATTCAAACAGAACAAATACCTGTCAAATCAAAATTAGAAATGATTAAAAAAATTTCAATTAATGAAGGAATACGACGAGGATTTTATCGTGGATATTCAGTTGCTATATTAGCTATCATATTTGAACCTGTTTTTATGGGTACATTGGAAATAACAAGAAATTTTTTAAATAATAATCAACCGAAATATATATCTTTATCACAATGGGATACAATAAATAGTTCATTATCAGCTGCTACAGCTGCTCTTGTACAACAAACATTTATCGGTATGTACATTATTTATATCAATAATATATCGATTAAATCAGCGAAAACGGGACATTCACCAGTTCTATTTTAATGCAATTCTCAATCAGTACAGGTTTTTTCAGTGAATTTTTTTGCATAGACCTATATAAAATTGTCTGCTCTTTAACATAGTTATTGATTAATTAATTAATTAAAAAGTAATTAGCAAATAGAATGATGAAAAAACTTGAAAACTTAAAGATAGTCTCTAGGGTATGAGCCGCATATATGATTAAATTTTCAGCGAGATCGTACTTCAAAAAGTTCATTCCAAAAAATTGATCTTTCAGAGCCTTTAAACAGAGCTGAAACGAAAATGTTTGTCTTAATATTATTCTAGGAAGTTCTACCACTGGCAAGAGCTCTTTGGAATCGATTTCGAACTTTTCAGTTCGTTACCAGAGCATTTGATCGGTAATGAAGTCGTACTCAGTCATGTCGCTAACGATATTGTCACGCCGCTGACGCTGAATAAATTTTGTTTTTTGAAAAAGCTAGCAGAGATGTCCATCGCGGCGCTGCCGCTACCGCGATGGTGATGGCGGCGCGGCAGCGGCAGTTTTTTAAAAAATCACCGCGGCAGCGGCAGAATTTTTTAAAAGTCATCGCGGCAGCGGCGTGGTAGCGGCAGATTTTTTAAAAAACCATCGCGACAGCGGCAGGATTTTTTTGGAGGACATTGAAAAACTGTATGAATTTAATAGAATTTCAGGATTTACAAATGAAACGCTCTGATATTGAATAAATCTGATGGGCTAGTACCCATATCTCTGGTCAAATATAGTCACAGCAGTGAAATTAGAAACACTTTTTTGAAAACCGTCGCGGCAGCGGCGCGGTGGCGGCACGTTTATTTAATAATTCATCGCGGCAGCGTTTCTTTTATAAGTCATCGCGGTGCGGCAGCGTCGCGGCAACATTTTTTTATAAACCGTCGCGGCGCGGCAGCGGTGCGGCAGCTTTTTTTTCTAAGACCGCGGCAGATTTTCAGCCGCAATGGACATCTCTGAAAGCCAGACATGCTCAAAATAATTTTACACCGGGATTTAGTAGCCTTAGGAGTTATATCTAGTATTGCGTATTAAGTTTTCGACGATTGTGCAACATTTGGAAATTTTTAAAACTCAAAGTATATCAAGTGAGAGTTTATGTCCTTTGCGGTGTCACGTCGCTAACGCTAGTTTTTCGTTAATAACTTCTCTAAACAAAGCTCTAGAGTGTTGATTTTTTCATGGCATCTAGAGTAAATAGAGACTCGTGCAACATGCAAAAAAACACACCTAAACCAGCTGATAATTCCGAGATATGCATAGTCCAAGTTTGTGATGTGACGTTGCTAACGAATGATTTAGGCCATATTACTATTTAAAAAAAAAGAAAATTTTCAAAAGAAATTTTCATTCGATTAATTTCCTTTTTTGAAATATTTTTATGTTGTTTTCTTTTTAATATTTCGAAAGACATTGTTCAATACTAACGAGGGAATCGTCCGAGGTATCCAACGCCGATTCCATTCATTCATACATCGTTTGATAGAGGGCATTGTGATAATAGAAAGCCTAAAAAGATTTGGACTGAGAGCTCTTTTTTTGTTGAAAAATTAGAGCCAATATTTTGTTTTTCCCCAGTCAAAATGACCAAAACTTGAAAATCTTACAACTCATGTTAGTCAAAACGACCGTACATACTTGAAATATTCAGCACTAAAAGTTCACTCTCGCTGTTGATCAATCTGAAAATTTTATATTATTTGGTAGTTACATTTTTGACTTAGAAGATTTTTGCTTGACATGAAAAAGTACACTCCTACAGTTGTCTATAGTGCTGTCTTGTTGTCGGTTTTAAATAATTCTATGTCCTCTGTTCTCATTTCCATCGTTTGTTAAATGGTTATTAACATTTGATGATAGGAAATACATAATATTGTTTAAGACTTATATTTAATTGAGCAATAAAAAATACAAAATGAGCAATAATCAAATTTAGCAATAAATATATAGAATGAGCAATATATATATAGAATGAGCAATATATATATAGAATGAGCAATATATATATTGAATGAGCAATATATATATTGAAAGAGCAATAATTAGATGGAATGAGCAATAATTCCATGAAATGAGCAATAATTAATTAAAATGAAGCGTAAAATGAATATAAAAGGGCAATAATAACTCGTTTTTTACAACACTAAACGTTTTCTCATCCTGATACAATTTATATATAACTTATATACATGACTCAAGCACAACTCATAGCGCACTATTTTTCTGATTCTGATAATGACATTGATATGGAAAGGCAACCTTCCATTGACAATGAAACAATTGAAAGAAAAAAGCAAAACAGGCGAAAATGGCTTCCATTATGCACGTACAATGATAAGAATGATGCTATTAAGAAAATCAAGGATGATGGTATATGGAGCAAAACACATACGAATATCACCAACGAAGGAAAACGGACTTATTATAGGTGTAACCAAGTTAAACGACGTGGAAAACAATGTCCAGCTAGTATTCATGTTTTATATCATAGTGAAAATGAATGTGTTACAATATACAAAACAGAAGATGATCATTTACATAACGAATCAAGATCTATTGGTATTAATCAACAATCAAAAGAAGTAATATGCGAATTATTCAAAATGAAAATCAAACCAAAACGTATACTAGAAATATTAGATGAAAAAGGTCTACCTGTTCCCAAAAAACGACAATTATCAAGTTATTTAATATCATTAAGAAAAAAATATTATGGCGCTCCAACTATTAGCTTAGGTGAACTTGAAGCTTGGTGCCAACAAAATTCATTAATACCTGATGATAATGACAAACCTTGGGTATTAAAGTATCAGATTGAATATGAAGATGAAATTGATAATGATGATGATAATGACAATGGTGATCATAATGATGATGATGATAATAAAAATAAATTTCGATTTTTTGTTACTACTAAAAGACTATTATTTAATGCAAGTATTTCGAATAAAATTCATATTGATACTACTTACAAGTTAATTTGGCAAGGATTTCCTTGTTTTATTATTGGAACCACTGATATGATTAGACAATTTCATCCATTTGGATTTGCTGTGTGTTCTAATGAAAAACAAAATGATTTTGAATTTATATTTAATTGTCTTCGTGGTGGATTACTTAATTTAAACTTACAGATGAATGAACAAGAATTAATACTTATTGCAGATGGTGCTGAAGCCATTAGTAATGCATTTTTAAAAGTATTCGGAACTGATCATAATGTTGTAATGTGTTGGTTTCATATGCGGAAAAAAGTTGAAAAAAAGTTACATTTAGTCGAAGATAAAGCATTACATGATGACATTATGAATGATATTGAAACATTACAATTGTCAACAAATAAAAATGTATTTGATATTGCTACTATATTATTTTTAAAAAAATGGAAGAATGAAGAAAACTTTATTCAATATTTTTCAAATGAATGGTTAAATTCAAAAAATGGATGGTTTGAAGGCTTAGCAACGCATGTTCCAAGCACGAACAATGCATTAGAAGCCACGAATCGTGTAATTAAAGATGAAGATACATTGAGGGAACGATTAGTTTTATCAAGATTTACAGTGGTTTTATTTTCTATCGTCAATAAATGGTCAAAGGAACGAAATCCCACTCTTATTAATTCAAAAAAATTCGAACATCAACCATTAATTACATTACCAATATGGACTGATGCATACAATTGGGTTAAGCTTAACAAAGCTGTTATATCGATTTGTAATGGTGACACAACAATTTATTATTTACCTGCTGGTGAAGAAACTAGAATAACAGATAAAGAAATCAAACGATATGAAAATTGCAGGTTTAATTCATTTCACACGTACAAGTCTGTTTACTTCAATATATGGTGCGTATGTTTATCTAACAATCCTGAAAAATGGAAAGAAGCAACATGTACCTGCCCATCATTTATGAAAAAATTTATTTGCAAGCACACGATTGGTATATCAATTAGATTAAAATATTGCAAACCTCCACCTGAAGCAAAAAATGTGACAATCGGTACGAAAAGAAAAAGAGGCAGACCATCGAAAGCAAAAAAAGCCTTATTGATACAATGACGAATTATATATACTTCATTTTTCTTTTTTGTTTCTTGTAAATTATAAATAAAAATAATTCACTTCTATCTTTTTTTGTTGCTCAAATATGAAATTAATATTGTTATATAATAAATTATTTATTTCTCATTTAATGTCAAAATATTGCTCATTTAATATCATAATATTGCTCATTTTATATTATAATATTGCTCAAATAAACATTTTTTATTGCTCAAAAATTATTGCTAAATCATGTTTTTATTATTGCTCATTCTATATTTTTTATTGCTCAAATAAATACAAGCCATTGTTTAACTATCTTTGTTTGCAAATAAACAAGAAGTCTTGAGAGTAATTAAATTGATTATGACGAACGGTATAAAGTAATATTACAAACAGCTGATATAATTTATCACTTTTGTGCCTTCCGCTATATGTTGTCATTGTTCTACTTCCATTACGTCATGGATTCTTTCATCATGTTCTATGGACTTTTCTATCAGCCATATCTTTCTATTCTTCTATGACATCATATGAATTCTTCCATAACGTCTCTGATTCTTCTGTTCTTTAATGATGTCATATGTATTCGTCTATTACGTCATGTTCTTTCCTAGATCCTTTTCTATAGAACGGTATTCAAAATCTATATATAGTTGCTGATTTTTTACAATAAAATATTTGTCTATATCGAATACAATTGTCTTTAGATATTATCCAAGATTTTCATTGACTGCCCACACCCACATCCACATCCACACACCCTCACAAACATTGATATATTATCTTTATTGTAAGCTTGTTCTCATTCGTTTTCTTTGATTTCTGTTAATAGTATAATCAAGATAAACAGTTTGTAAATTTTGTTTTTTTCTTTGATTTTGTTTGTAAAAAATTTCTGATAAATAAAGTATCTTTCTAATGTGAGAGATCTCAACGTAGCAGATCGGAGACGATGTCTACCATGCTCGAATGGGCCACGAAATACCTCACACAACATTGAGTTTCTTTAATTCCGAAGTTTTTACACAAAAATCAGATTTCTTGAGGCTGTAAAACTTCTTTTTTTTTGCATGATAAATAAAAATCCTGTAAGTCAAAAATGAAACTACCAAATAATATAAAATTTTCAGATTGATCAACAGCGAGAGTGATCTTTTAGTGCTGAGAATTTCAAGTATATACGGTCATTTTGACTGACATGAGTTGTAAAGTTTGCAATTTCTATTATCTCAATGCCCTCTATCAAACTATGTATGAATGAATGGAATCGATGTTGGACATCTTGGGCGGTTTCCTGGTAAGAAAAATTCTATTTGAATATATAATCAATATATTTTTAGTTAAGTTATTAGTAAAACATATTAACATATAACTTTTTCAATTCAGTATCCAGTTACCCTTCGACAAGCTAGAGTACTCCTATCTCACTCTACAAACAGTAACGAACACCCACCACCAGCATATTTCAGTTATAATTTAGCAACAGAACGGAATTTTTTTCTATATTCTCCACTCAATTTCATTTTCTCGATATTTACCCTCTAACCTTAGACATATGACCGTGGTAGGAGGGGCACCTGAAATATTTTATATTGAGATTTGAAGAAAATTTTTTGTAAAATATATAATTAGTTTTGACTAGAGTAGAACTCTACAACAGAACTTGTTGGTTCCTATTGAGAAAAAAAATGGATAAGCAGGTGTTAGCGACTGTTTGTAGAGTAAGGTAGTATACCTCTACCTTCTCGAAGATTAACTGAACCCTCAGTCGGAAAAGTTGTATGTTAGTCAGTGTTATCATCGTTTCCTAATAGCTATTTTGTTCTGAATTTGAATAAAAAAAAGTTCTATTTCTAATATTTCTTAATTGTTTTTTGTCTAAAAATGATTTTCAATAAATAAATATATTTATTGTTTTTCTATTAAATGTCTAAATGAAAGTATAAAATATTGTTCTATCGTAGATTTTATAGTTGATTTCTGTGATGATAACAAGTGATATATATAGGATGTTAGATTGTTCTTACTGATAATGTTATAAAATGATCATAAAACTGAATAGAAGTCAATTTGAAAATATTGTTTGATGAAAACTAATGCATAATTATTGCCTTTTATTTTAAAGTCTAACGAATAGTATATCAACAAACAGTTATTAACTCTTATCCCAAAGGGCAATATATTGATTATAAACAAATGTTAAGTTCGCTTAAAAAAATCAAAGATTTAAAGGGTTAAGTCAATTGTGAGTAATGAGATCCTTTAACAAATATCTCTGTAAGTTTTGTTTTTCAAAGAATAAATCTTGAATAATATTTAATCATAATATGAATTTTTTTATTTAAAATATTCTAAAATAAATATTAAATTTATTTAAATATTGACATTCGATCATTGTTTTTATTTTTTAATTAAATTTTAAAAATTTAAAAAAAAAAACAAAGTTTTTATTTGAATAATATTATTTTAAAACTAACTGCATATATATTATCTATTAGTGATTTAAGAGAAACTAATATAGATATGATACGACAATGAACAAAATCTGCTAACTAGTCAAATATTTTCAATATTAACTATATTAGATTTATTTTTCTATATTATATGTTAGAATTAATCATAACAATGTATTATATAAAGGATTTATTTACTTTTCAATAATATATTTCTATTTATTTTCATATCTATTATATTGATCGTCGAGTTCTATAGATTAATCATACTCGTCAAGTCGATTGATTAATGAATATTTTATGGATTTAAAATATTAATTAATCGTTTAAATTCATTTAAAAATTAATAGATAAATTCTAGTTAACTTAATATTATATTTTTATTTTTATTAAAATTTAACTTATCAAATATATAATTAATTGATTATAAAAGTATGAATATATATTATTTAAATATTTAAATAAATAATTATATCATTCGAGAGGGTTTTTTTTTCTTGAAAATTTTAAAGAATAAATATTTCGATTATTTAATTAATAAAAAGTAAAAACAAAAAAAAGAAACTCTCCAATATTAATTAATTAATATATTATTAGAAGACTAGTTTATTGTCTCACATTGTTTATCAATAATATATCTTAATTAGAATTTATATTTATTTTAAATTAATAGAATAATAAAATAATCAATAGAATTAGAGACATTTTATTAATATTATTAATATATTAATTTATTTTAAACTATTATATTTATATATATATAAATAAGAATTTTAGAAAATAAATAAATATCAAACATATTTATTCAATTTGAACATTTATACAAATAATTTAGTTTTATTTAATATGTTTAGTTCTAGACTTCTCTCTCTCTCTCTCTTTTTTTTGTTGCTTATGGAATTTTAATATAATTAAAAAGTGAATATCGATATATAATAATAAATGATCGAATAATCTAGAAAGAAACAAACTTGCTTAAATTAATCATTTTATCCTTTTATAAATAAATTATTTATATAAGGATAAGAAAAAAAGAAAATATTATTTAATTAATAATTGATGACGAATATTTTTTTTTTGTTTTTATTAATCGACACAAATTATTCAAATAAGAATAAAAAATAATTTGTTTAATGAAAATGAATGATTATTTATTTTCGAAAATTTTTCAAAAAGTTAATATTTTATTAAATTAAATTCGTTTAAGGATATTTATTTATTTATAACATTTGAAAATAAATTGTTTTGTTATTATAGTTCCAATAGATGTAATAACTCAACGTTTAATGATAACTCATTCATATAGTGGTATACGATTAAATGATGTTATTCGTCAAATATATATTCAATCAGGTGATGGATTTCGGGGATTTTATAAAGGTTATTTAATTACATTAGGAATGTCTCTTCCATTTAATTCAATTGTTTGGACACTTTATTGGAAAATTCAATCTAATTTAGAAAAAATTCTTCCCACAAACTTTGATTATATTATAAGTCCATTATCATCAACATTATCTGTTCTATTAACATCATATTTAACACAACCAATTGATGTTTTAAAAACACGTTTACAAGTTGCATTTAAAAGAGAAACAATTTTAAATACATTTATTATTCTTATTAAACAAAGAGGTTTTAAAGGACTTTTTTCGGGTTCAATAGCTCGAGCATCAATTATTATGCCCAATACAGTTATTATGATGTCTCTTTATGAAATAATTAAACGAGCTTCAATCAAATCTAACATATAATACTTTATTCGAGTATTAACTCAATCAAGCAATTAGTCACACTTTTTTTATCTCTTCTTTTTTATTTATTTATTTAAATAAACAAATCTTTTTTTTTTGTATTTATTTAATTAATAATTGACTTGTTTTTTTTTTAAATTAAATTTCAAAAAAACAAACGAACAACTAACTTTATTTTATTCTAATGTATTTATATTGTCAGTTGACAGGTATTAGATTGACTAACATAACATAGATATTATTATATTTTATAAATTAGGGTGGAAGATTAAGTCTATATTATATTATCAAATCTATTATTCTATGATAATACCATTTTAAAAAATCTCTCGACTATAACATTTATCAATTGAGTAAGTCAATTAGAATTGACAATAATATAGAACAATAAGATATTAGTGGACAATTTTTCATTTAAATATATTCTAATAAATCTATAATAGATCATTATATTAATATATATTGTTCTTTCCATATTGTCATGATTAGAGGCGAACATCAATATATATTCTCCTAACAATAGTTTATAATAAGTTTCTATCAAGTGTGATTAGTCAATAGTATGATATATATCTCAGCCTAATTTTTGTAGGTTTTCATTTCCAATCAGTTGGTAACGTAATAATAACAAATCTTTCCTAATATCTATTAAAGAACCTGATAGAATCAGTTTCTTAAGATTGAAAGTGATGCATAACAGTTGTAGACCTGATAGAACTAAAGACTTGTTATATATTAATAATTATTCTTTTTTGATTAATTGAATGTATTCTTTCATTTTATTGTTATCATTTTTGTATTATTATATAAAAACTTTTAAATATTTCAATGTAGAATTTTAAATAATTAAAATTATATTCATTAATATGTAATCACAATTTCTATATACAAGTTTTATTTAACGACAATTATTCTAAACAACTTCTTGAATATTTTTAATTGAGATTTATTTTCAAGTTTATTTATTTGAAGATTTCTATTCGGCGAGTTTCCCTATAAAATCTAACTTAAACATATTACATAAGATATTGATCAAATTTTACATAGATGTTGGCCCTATGAAAGTATATTAGGAAAAAACAATAAAACTTCACATGCCTCTATATCTTACCATTTGTGATATATCTATCTACGGACCAAACTGAAAATCAGAGCTTTTACGCCTATAAGGTTTTTTCTAATATATTTCAAGGTGAACAGTTCGGATTGCTTTTATTTTGAATAGAATTGATTGTTGCTTTGGATAAAGAAAAGTTTTTTTTTCAAAATTGACTTTGTTACATTTTAAAGATCATGAAAATCTAAAAAATGTGAAAACTTTATGGGTCATTTCCTGGAAGAGCTAACGCTTATCTAGCATTGACGAGCAATTTAGAAAATTCATTTGTCTCATGTGAAAAACTATGCATATATCTATTGATTAAAAAGAAAAAACGAGAAATCCCTAGATTGAACAATATTAAAAAAAAAATTTGAAAGAATTTTTTATTTAGTCTTCCTATTCTATTTACATTAATTAAATTATTTTTATATGAGACATATCATGATAGATACTGCAATTATATTTGTCTTTATATGCGTTATATCATTGAACAAGATTATATATGACTGAGAATATCAGTCAACAATATAGGTTTACTTGCGTGACAAATATATTGACCACTTAAGATGATTGAATGTTCGCCTTGGTGTCAAAATAAAGATTAAAATTAACTGTAGAACTTAACAGAAACAGATTTTTCAATTTTCTTTTAGTTTTTATTTTTAGAAAATTCCTCGAATGAAATTTGAAACATCTAAGTCAAGATAGATTTAGAAAGGTTAATTTTCTTTTTATAAATGTTAATAGGGAAATTGAACAATGTAATTGTTATTAGATAGAGCTAACATTTGTGTCTTTATTTTGATATCAATATGAACTTTCTAGCATTTAATAATGAGAAAGAATTGTGGAATGTACGGATATATGAAAAGTTAAATATTTGATTAAAAAAAAACGTTATTTTACTGTATAAAATTTCAGAAAAACCAATATTATATTGTTAAAACTCAACTGATAATTAAATCTGTACATTAGAATGTATTCGAGAGTAAAGATTTTTCTCTAAGCAACATATTTTAAATAACAAAATCGACTTTTGTTTTTTTGTTTAATAAGAATGCCCTTAACAAATAGAAAATCTAAAAACGAATGAATTATTGTTGTATATCTTTCTAAATATATCGTGAAGATATTAAATTGAAATATATGAAATAAATAAAACGAATCTATTCGTTTGTATCGTGTTCGAATAAATTTCCAAGAGTTTAAAATGATTACTGGTCAATCATAGGTGGCGGAACGTTTTGAATCTATGGTAGGCTCAACATTTTTTAATAAGACCCTAACTGATGGATTAGAAATAGAGGGGTAATTTTTTCTGCTATACTGTTCAACTAAACACAATTAATACTGCTTATTTCTAACTCTACTTTTTGGTTCTCAATATGAGTTTATATCAGAGGTGAGTTTGGAATTTATTGCAAAGAAACTTGTATTCAAATAGTCACCTAAACTTTTTTCTTGATTGAATATTGACTCTCAAATATAGTCCTTCGGCTGCAAAAATTTTGTATCGAAATCTGAACTGTTAGTCTTCGTACTCTCAATAGAATTCTTTTACTCC